TGCCCCAACCACTGATGCTCCCCCCCCCATGAAGTTAAGCAAACTCCGGAGCATGACGGAAGACAGGAGGGTCTGGCGTGATGTGGTCCATGGGGTAGCAAAGAGTCGGACTCGACTGTGCGACTGAACAACAATAAGTAGTAATTATCGTTATGTCATTATGTGTGGTATAGGGAGGAGATCCGAAGATCGTCTGGCAGCCTTAAGTTCTAACTGTTATAGTGAGCTAGACTTATTGGGGGGGGGGGCTGAGAGAGCTCCGAGAGCTGTGACTGACCCAAGGTCACCCAGCTGGCTTCATGTGGAGAAGTGCAAATCAAACTTGGTTCTCCAGATTAGAGTCCACCACTCTTAGCCACTACACCATGCTGGCTCTCCCGTTCACATCCCTGTGGCCCCTTTTGAACCCAGTTGATTTTAAAATGCTTCTGTCTGGACTTTCTTCTGTCAAGTGTTGGACCCAATAGAAGTGACAGTGCAAAAAACAATAATAAAGATATCTCACATAGCAGGTCTAGTTCCTTTCTCTGGTCAGAAGTTCTTATAGTGCCTCAGGCTTGGGGGGGGGGGCGGAGACGGGCTGAGCAGCTGACTCATAACTTGTTTGCATATGCCACACCCCCTGACATCACTGGAAGTGTGTCAGAAGGCAACACCCACCGCTCAGGCGTCACTGGACTGTTTTGGATTGCTAGCTATGGGGGGGGGAGTATAGATCTGTCCTCGCAGAGGAGGGAGAGCTTGTACCTTAAAGGTGCCACTGGACTGTTTTGGACTGGGGGCTGGGGGGGGGCCTCTGCAACTTACCTGGCTGCTTCTTGCTCTGACTGAGGGCTGCTGGGAGCAGGGGGTGGGGCTTGTTGCATGTGCCCACCCCCTGAGCTCTTTACTGCCGGAGCTCCGCTCCTGTGCGCTCCTGCAGGAAATGACCTCTGCCAGTGGCATCCATCTTTTTGCTCACTTGAGGTTCTCAAGGCATTCTATGAGACTGTGCAGCCCTGATAACTTTTCTTGTGATCTGTCCTCCCTGCAGTATGGCAGAATTGACGGACAGTTCACACTTGCCAGCAATTCCCCCTGGTTTCTTCCAACACTGCTGTGGTCCCCTGTATCAAATGGAACCCTGTTAAGGCTGGCCAATAAATTGGTCCCTTCCCATATGAACGGTACCCACCTCTCCCTCCCTCAGCCATTTGAGCTGAGCCATTGGGTGGCCTTGGAATGTGGACAGGCAAGCTGTTTGTTTTGGATTAAATGGTTTTTGCTTTATTGGGCAAGGTCTGACTACGACCTATTAGGTCTGTATGCACTAGCTGGCATATAGCAATTTGAGTTAACTTTTGTAGTCTTATATTTGGTGTTTATTACCTGTCATAAACCCTCAAATGGGACACAGGTGGGGGGGAAAGGAGCCTAGCTATGGAATCCTCAGAGCACTTTCCTGGGAGTAAGCCCCACTGAATAGACCTGGGTAAGATTTTGAGTAGACCTGCTTAGGAATGCTCTCTAAATGGAGCAGACAAAAAGTCAGATGAGATTAAATGTCTAAAATACCAGAGCTGTGCCTTTTAGGGAGGGAGCTGAATGTTTCTCCTTAATCAGGCCCTTGAACTGTAAAGAGTTGCTGGTATTGAATGGTATTGTTTCCAGTGACTCAAATTATTTGATGACTGAAATGATGGTATTGTAATAGTACATTTAATGATGCTGTAGCTTCATTGTTTCAACCGGTGTGTGCATGCTAAGAAATGGGGCACAGCCTCCCTGTACGTCTGTACACATAGTTGTGGTTCTGTATGTCTACTCTATGAAATATTTTGTGCATGTGTGGAATCACTGCAGGTCATGTTTTATGGTTGGCTATTTTCTAAAATGGAAATGTTTTCCATGTAGGAGAAAGTTTACATGTAAAGTGACTGTGAAACTTTCTGTCCATTCCAAGGAAAGGCAAAGAAAAATTATGTATATGTAGCCCATAAGGAAAATTGGTTGCTTCTGTTAGATGTGTGTGCTGAGAGCGCTGTCAGTCGCTTCTATCTTATGGAAACCCTATGAATTAATAGCCACCAAAACGTCTTACTGTTAACAAGCATTGCTCTGGTCTTGCAAACTAAGTCAATCTATCCTGTGCTGGGTCTTCCTCTTTTCCTGCTGCCTTCAACTTTTCCTAGTGTCATTGTATTTTCCAGTGACTCTTGTCTTCTCATAATGTGACCAATGAATGATAGCCTCAGTTGAGTCATTTCAGCTTCTAGAGACAGTTCAGGCTTGATTTGAATCTAAGAAGCTAAATTTCTATAAAAATACTGTTGGACTGTACTTTGGAAGTGACTTTTTGGGTAGCTCATAAAATAAAATTTTGAAATAACGAGGAGACTATATGAGCAGTTTATATGCTATGTAATGGGATTGCTTTCAAAAACTGATACAGTACTAATGGAAACTTCATCCTATAAGAGAAAGTGTATTGGCCGTTATCTGGGAAGAATAATGGTGTTATATTTGAGAGATGAGTCCAGTCTAGTCATCTAATGTAGCTATTAAGGAAATGTTTTAAGAAATATTCCAGTGATACTGCACACCACTTAAATTATTTTTAAAAAATATTTGTTACTGTGTCACAGAAGCGTCAGCGGCATCCAACAAGAGTGGCAGATTTATTTATTTTTTTAAGCCCCCCCCCCCCCGGAGGGGATTATTTATTTATTTATTTAAACTACAAAAAACCACAACAGAAAAAAGGGAAAGGGGAACTACATATACGGGAGAAAGTAAAGTACCCACTACTATCTAAAAACCCAAGAGAGGAGACCCTCCAACTAGCTTTAATACATCAAATCTTCTCATCGTTGTTCTTTTTATGAACTGCGTCAAACCCTTGGAAAACCTTTTACCCTCAAAGTTTACATTTAACTGCCCAATAACAGTATCCCCAATCATCCCCAGGAACCAAAGTTCTCAAAGGCACTGATCAGAGTCCTTCAGCCTTTACTTCTTCTTTTCCCTTCTCTTCCGGAGCTTGCAGGGACTTTTCGGGGCTGCTGCCCCCTGCTCAAAGAGTCCTCGCCAGATGAACCAGTTTCCAGCTCTCCACTAGACCTGCTGTCCTCTTCTTTTTTCTCGCCCTCTGGCCTTCCCAGCTGTTCCTTTAGAAATTCTTGAGCAAGAGCGGCAGATTTCTTACATGTTAAGGCTGTGACGTTATTGAAGATTATAAGAAAGGGCCTTTGTTATTAAACCAGCCAGGGACTAAATGTCCTTCGCAGTGATCAATTTGTTGATTAGTATCAGAGATGACATTCAAAAGAAATATACAGTCCAGTCCTAAGCAGAGTTATACCCTTCCAAGCCCCTTGAAATCAATGGATTTAGGAGGGTATAACTCTGTTTGGGATTTCCACAATAGAGGTTATTCGCGGGCAGTTCTTTGACTGTTGTCTAAAAAACTGGAAAAACAAGAAACTGTTGGTGGAGGAATAGTAGAAGAAATTCTGGCATAATACCGTTGATAAGTAAATGTTTGCCAGTTAAAAAAGCTTCTGCATTGTTAAAAGTCTTTCTTCATTCAGTTGCTCCCTGGAATACCATTGTACCAAATGAAATGCTACAGTTCATAGGTAACCATTGATGGTAGCTTAGAAATAACAGGGGCAGTGGGGGGCAAATTAGGTGCAGGGAAACTGGCCGTCTGTGTTTGTACATCAGTCCAGGTACTTTTGTATTTGCATACGCTTCATATGTTGCCTACAGAGTGGTCAGACTGCGTAAGGCTCTTCGCTGATTAGTGTAGCTTTAAAATCTTTATGATTTGGTATGCTAGGTTTTATTAACCATGACTAGATTTAACCTTGTAGACCTGGTTCAAAACCTAACAAAGTTCCACTCAAGTCACTAACAGCCATTAATTTAATTTTTGCTGGATAGCTTGTGTCTCAGCATGTGGGTTGGAAATGAGTGTGTGTGTATGTGTGGGTGGGGGTGGGGGCATTAATTAAGAAAAGCTTATTTCTAAAATTTCTAACATAAGATGCAGTCGATCCAACCTTAAGACCTCCAGAATCCCACTGGTTTCTCTGGGACATGCATAAATCTCACTGTTCAAACTGTCTTAGAAGTGCTTGGGTTTGGCTGGCTTGTGCTTTTATGTTTTATGTATAATAATGTACCGAGTCTATTTTTTGTTTGTTTGCTTTTTAAGATCGCGGGTTATTCTTGGAGTGGAGTGTTTCAGTTTCATTTTAAAATATGGAGACGGAAGATGCTGAATACAGTCTTTGTGACATTAATATATCATGCATTATGCTATATTAATATTTACTTTGTTGTCGAAATTATGGAACAGCAGTAGAATTACATTAGGGAGATTATGGAACAACAGTAGAGTAGTCAGAAGAGAGCCTCATGCCATGCACACTGTCAGTCAGTGACATTTGCCACTATTTCCCTATTAAAGGCTGATGGGGAGTATTTATGGTGGATGTCACTTGCTACGTATAAAATTAGTTTCCGATAGATTGTGAATCTACAAATTAAGACAAGTATGACTTGCATGTGTAATATGTTATTCTTTCTCTGTTCTACTAGACTGTTTCCTCGATTATTGAATGATAGCAGCTATTCTGTATTTGGTCTGTCTAATGTAAACCACCCCCATGAGAGCCATTTGGCTCTGAAACATAAGTCCATTTAACAGAGGTGCAACATCTTTCTAAGTACATGACCTGAAATGTACATGATCAGGTAGAAAGTTGAAGGGTCCACAAAATGGTCTGGGAGCCCAAAGTACCGTAGAATTATTCAAGTTAATTTGAATGGTGGGTGGACAGGAGCTCACCGGGAGTCTTGCTCAGGTTTTTCCGAGTTTTCTAAAGCTAGAGAACAATAGAAATATATTAAAATTATGCCAGTATGGAAGGAGGAGCGCAAGAAATTCTGACTAGAGCTGTTAAGTGAGTAGTAGTGAGACTAAATATCCACTTGTTTGTTTTTTATACCTCCAGATCTAAAATATGTCTGCCTTACTTGAGGAAGAGTAAGATTGGTCATATTCTTAATATCAGCCCACCAATAAACTTGAATCCTGTCTGGTTTAGAAATCACTGTGGTAAGCACATCTTTTGTAAAGTGTTCACATAGAGAGATTCCCTCAGACTCGAGGCAGATGTAAAGGTTGGTATAGTGGTTAAGTGCGTGGACTCTAATCTGGGAGAACTGGGTTGGATTCCCCACTCCTCCACATGCAGCTGCTGGGTGACTTTGGGTCAGTCACAGTTCTCTCAGAGCCGTTCTCTCAAGAGCAGTTGTCTCAGAGCTCTCTCAGCCCCACCTACCTCACAGGGTGTCTGTTGTGGGGAGAGGAAGGCAAGGAGATTTTGAAGCTGCTCTGAGACTCTGAGTGAAGGGCCTGGTATAAATCCAGTTTCCTCCTCCTCCTCCTCCTTCATATATATATATATTTTTGGGTTGGCATTTTCACAGCCTGAAAACTGATATGGCCCCCCTCTCTCAAAATTGTTGCATGTACTTAGCTGCTCTCCCACTTCATTCCAAAGGCAAAGTAGGTTGAATGTGAATTTGCCCATGCTCTGTACCCTGCCATGTCACCTGATTAGCCCAGTTTGGCTAAGCTACTCAGGGTTAGGGAGCTAAGCAGGGTCAATCACAGTCCGTACTCTGGTGGGAGACTGCCAAAGAAGACTGAGGTTGTTACGCAGTAGAAGGCAATGGCAGACCATCTCTGCTAACTCGTGCCTGGAACCCCCTGTGGATGGGGGTCACCATGAGTCAGTTGTGACCTGATGGCACATTCTTCACCAGTTTGGTGTAGTGGTTAAGTGTGCGGACTCTAATCTGGGAGAACCGGGTTTGATTCCCCACTCCTCCTGCTGATGTGACCTTGGGTCAGTCACAAGCTCTGGCACAGCTGTCCTTGAAAAAGAGCAGTTTGTGTCAGAGATCTTTCGGCCCCACCCACCTCACAGGGTGTCTGTTGTGGGGAGGGGAAGGGAAAGGAGTTTGTAAGCCGCTCTGAGACACCTTTGGGTAGTGAAGGGCGGGGTATAAATCCAATCTCTTATTCTTCTTCTTCTTCTGTGCTCTAGGAGAATTCTGATACAACCAAGCCTTATTTTGTTCCCAGGTTGTTGTTTTTTAATTGAATTTCTGCTGCTGGGGGAATGAGCCTGGCCACTGAAGCCAGGTGGAACTGAAGCTGGTACATGAGCCAGTGTGGTGGAAAGGTTATTGGGGGACTAGAATTGAGCAGGCCTGGGTTCAAATTCGTGCTTCGCTATGAAGCACACTGGGTGGCCTTGGGCCAGTCCCACTCTCTCAGCCTAACATAACTCATAGGGTGTTCTGACGATAAAATAGAGGGGGGAGACCCAAGCCAGTTTGGTGTAGTGGTTAAGTGTGCGGACTCTTATCTGGGAGAACCGGGTTTGATTCCCCACTCCTCCACTTGCACCTGCTGATGTGACCTTGGGTCAGTCACAAGCTCTGGCACAGCTGTTCCTGAAAGAGCAGTTTGTGTCGGAGCTCTCTCAGCCCCACCCACCTCACAGGATGTCTGTTGTGGGGAGGGGAAGGGAAAGGAGTTTGTAGGTCGCTCTGAGACTCCAAGTGAAGGGCGGGGTATAAATCCAATCTCTTCTTCTTCTTCTACACCACCCTGAGCACCTCATTATATAGAAATTAAACCACCTCACATGCCACTGCTGTTCTCTGTTCTTAGCAGTTGAGTAGCTAACCAGTTGACTACCTAACCTCCATCAGATCTCTCTCCTTCTGATCTTCTCAGTAATTAACAGTGACAGGAAATGTGCCACCAGTGTTGTAAGAAACTATATAGGAATCAGCACCAGGGTTTACATTTGAATGGAATTGTGGTTGTGGCAGTAAACCTTTCAAGGAAGTGGGAGACAGGAGAAAATGGGATGGGGGGTTTGGTTGGGTTATTTGAGCCAGGCTGTCTTGTTCAATGGCGCCTGCTCATGCTGTCTTGTTCATTGGCCCCACTCATGTAGTTTCTTTCCCTGTGAGGGAAATGTGGGGCATTGTAGTGGAGGGTTGTGCTCAGCCATTCTTTGAGTTTTGTTGCAGTAGCAAGCAGCAGCTTCTTCCTCCTCTGCAGCAGAGGAACCAGGACATTTGACCATGTGCTGTGAATGAAGGCTGAGGTGAAACTCTCGCAAGTGCCCCTGAAAAGGAAGGGGTTGTGTGTGTTGGAACTCACCAGCCTGAACTCCGACCGAGCTCCTCTAGGGCTTCCATGTTACTCTTGCGTGCCAGAAGCCTGGCACTTCCTTTCTCTGACGTCGGGGCTCTTGTGCAACATGAGCGCAGTGATATCATCACTCTGGAAGGGAATCAATATCTAGTTTTAACAGTCAATTAATAAGACACAGATCTTGTACATGCAGAAACACAGCCCAGCCCTTCGTTCTTCCCACGCTAGTGTGCTTTCTCTTACAGGATTTACGCGGCATTTTACACATAGTTAAAAAAAACAAAACACAAAAGATCTAAAATTTATGAATTGCGATGTTGATGGGTTTTAACTGGCTAACTCTGTCTTTACATCTTCTTCTAGCCTATACTATTTCTAAATATGGGATGTCCATGTGTGTACTCGGTATGGCAGAAGAATTTAGAGGGGAAGTCGCAGTTAATGCTTTGTGGCCTCAAACAGGTGTGTGTGTTCTTTTTTAAAATATATATATATCGCTTGACTTTAACATTCTGATGAGATTGGGCTAGCCTGGGTTATCCAGGCCGGGGTGTGTTTGTTCTCCCTCCCTCCCTGGCCTGGATCGCCCAGGCTCTCTCATCAGGTCACAGAAGCTAAGCAGGGTTGGCCCTGGCTAGTGTTTGGATGGGAGACCTCCGGGGAGTACCAGGGTTGTGATGCAGAGGCAGGCAATGGCAAACCACCTCTGAATGTCTCTAGTCTTGAAAACCCCTTTAGGGTCTCCCTAAATCGGCTGTGACCTGACAGCTCATTCCACCATCACTACCTATATAAATTCCACTTCTGTTTCGATACGTTCAATATGGAATTCTTTTGTTTGTGATGTGTACATTGTAAATAAAAAAATAATAATCCAGTGGTTTCTAGCGGAGCAAACGGCTTATTCCTGCTCTCCCTTGACTGTATGCATTGAAAGTGACATCTTGCAAAATGTGGTTTTACGTATGAAGCAGCACGTCCCTCTTCATGTTTACTTGGAAGCAAAACTCACCGAGTTAAATAGAACAGTCTTGCGAGTAAGGGGCGCATAGGACTGTTGCCTTAGATTTCTGGAGTGGTGGCAGTTAAACTGTCCACACCTGTGCAACCCAGTTGCCAGCTTAATACTTTACAATGATGTAGCATCTACATTCCGTTTTGTTAATTTTGATTTTTTAAAAATGAGATTAATCTATTCAGAAGGGGCCAGATTAATTGTTTTGACTCTAGGCTTTCTCCTGAACAGCCTGTTTTCTTTTAAGTACTGTCACTGATTTGCAGAATCTTTCTTCCTGGCCTTTCCTTGTTATTTTCCCATCCCTCAACTTCAATTTCTGCTCTGCAAAGGAAGATAAGCCTCATGGCTGTCTAAGAAACAAACAGAACTATACCTGCTGTTGCCTCCCTTTCACATATCCCAGAATAGGCCCTTCTCCCTGGAACATAAGAACATAAGAGATACCAATGTTGGATCAGGCCAAAGGCCCATCCAGTCCAACACTCTGTATCACACAGTGGCCAGAAATACCAGTGCCATCAGGAGGTCCACCAGTGGGGCCAGGACATTAGAAGCCCTCCCACTGTTGACCCCCCCAAACAAGATGACAGAGCATCACTTGCCCCAGAGTCCCTATCTATACCTTGTGGCTAATAGCCACTGATGGACCTCTGCTCCATATGCTTATCTAATTCCCTTTTGAAGTCGTCCATGCTTGTAGCTGCCACCACTTCCTGTGGCAGTGAGTTCCATGTGTTAATCACTCTTTGGGTGAAGAAGTACTTCCTTTTATCCGTTCTAACCCGACCGCTCAGCAATTTCATTGAGTGCCCACGAGTTCTTGTATTGTGAGAAAGGGAGAAAAGTACCTCTTTCTCTACCTGCTCTTTCCCATGCATAATCTTATAAACCTCAATCATGTCACCCCTCAGTCGTCGTTTCTCCAAGCTAAAGAGCCCCAAGCGCGTTAACCTTTCCTCATAGGGAAAGTGTTCCAACCCTTTTATCATTCGAGTTGCCCTTTTCTGCACTTTTCCCAAAGCTATAATATCCTTTTTAAGGAAACTTCAGCCCTTTCTCATTCTCACAAAATGGGTGCAAAAATGGCCTGTGCAATCTTCTTCTGGGTTTGGAAGTGCTGCTCACATCCCATGCATGGTGTTTTTTTAACATTTTGTCCCTTGTGAGCATTACTGGACGAATAGTCGGAAATTCTTAAAACTCAGGTTACAGGTACCCTCTAGTTCAGGGGTCCCCAGTGTGATACTGATGGTGCCCGCAGACCCCCCCATTCCTTGTATCTGCCAATTGTTTTCAGAAAGTGGGCAGGGCCAGGTGGGGCTTTTGTCCAGCAAGGTTTTTGATCAGCCATTGGCGGTTTTATTGGCTGTGCAGATTTTTAGAAATGTTGCGTTGGCAAGAGCTGCCGCCACAGCACAAGAATCTTCTCTGCGTGACTGTAGGTGAGCTGTGGCAGCCATTTTGTGACTGGCTGTGCCTCCCCGGTGGCCATTTGGTGGCTGCATCCACCACGCTGTATCAGAATTCTGGAGCTGCCCGCAGACTCGGAAACACTGGGGACTTCTGCTCTAGTTGGTCCAAGGAGACAGCCTGAACTTTTTGTCTTTGTAAGTTCCTTAACTGAAGGGTCTTTTCCACATATGACATGGAGTGAATCCAGATACGCCATAATTGTACATTCTCGGAATGCATGCTTGCAAACAAATGTTTGTTGCCTTACATTATGTTTTATGAGTTAAAATTTTATGAGGAGGTGGTAGGATGTGCATCTTGCAAAAAAGGGGATGTCAGATGTGTAAGACCATTGCATATCTGCACGGTAAGGACAGACAGGATTTAAAACAGCATTGCTGACAAATTACTCTCTTTCCTTCCTTTCTCTGTCTCTTTTAGCTATATATACGTCTGCTATGGATATGCTGGGAGGAGCTGGTGTGGAGAAACAGTGCAGGAAAACGGATATTCTTGCAGATGCTGCATATTGCATTTTAACAAAGCCTAAAAACTTCACTGGAAATTTTGTTATTGATGAAAATTTGCTGAGGGAAGAAGGAGTGAAGAATTTTGATGCATATGCAGTTGCACCAGGTAATTTACATTCATATGTCTTGCACAAGGGGTGTGTGACTGTATGAAGGCAGTGGGATCGCAGATCTACAAATCAGTACTACCCCTATCCTTCCTTCCTCTGCTGCCAGTCGGAGTAGGCAGCACTGCCCTTGACAATCCAGGGGGGTCTGACACTCTATAAGGCAGCTTCCTGTGTTCAGTTGCACGTTTTGGAAGATGGTAATGTGCAAAACACACCGAAAGCAAGTTCCAGTGAGGCACAGTTAAACTGACAAGGAACTCCACCGCTAAATGCAACTTTCCTTTGATGTGTGTGCTTCTCTGCCTGTGCCAAAGAATGTATGCATCCAAAGCAAACAGCATCATCTTCTGGCACTCCACAGAAATGTCCCATATCCGAGGATGCTTCCCCCCCCCCCCATTAGTTGGCATACATTATGTATGCTTGGGAAAAACCAACATCTGCATCATGCACTGCAGGCAATCAGTATAGTTAGTTCTGCTGCTAAGTGTCTTTTCAAAGGGAAACTCTACAAATTGCAGTTGTTGCAGAAAATAATGTTGTTAGGCCAGTGTCTCCAAGGTAACATGTGGTTGTTGCGTATGTGGTCGTTTTGTTTTCTAGGTGTACATAGGTGTTTAAAGTGCACGTACAGATATGGAGCCCACGTTATCCATCTGCGACAAGAATCGACCCGCGTAACACAAGTGTTCTCTGCAGCAGTCGTCACACATGGAGTGGCTTAAATCTCTCATTACCCTAACCACACAGTCTGATTTTACTGTATGAAATTTTGCCACTTATTCATTCTGTATTTTTAGGTCACCCATTGCTACCAGATTTCTTTTTAGATGTGGATCCTGAGACGCTAGCAATGAAAATGGAAGCGCATGGTGAGAAATTATGCGGTTAGCTGAACATTCCCTGAAGCTATTGAAATATGCAGTAAATCACTCTCCTCTTGAACCTCATCACTTTCAAACATCTGGCAACAGCTCACTGATTGCTCATTTTTTCCTAACATCATTATATTTGGGGCTGGATTTTGTTGCTGGGACATCTCAGCCTCTTGGATTGGGACATAAAGAGCCTTCAAAGTAGAAAATAGGAAAATATTGGGGTGGGTGGGTTTATATTACAGGACAGTGTTCTAAAAGTACAGGTTTCCAAAAGCTGGTATTTATATCTCTGTGGAGAATTGCTGCTAAAACTTGCATAATTTGAGTTGAACATCTGATTGCTGCTGCAATTGGTGACTTTCTGAAAAGCTTTGCCAATTTTGGCAAAACTTTTTGTTGTCTGATCAGTTCCATGCCAAACAAAGATCACATTTGCTTTATTGGTTTGTATAAAAGCACAGAAAGTCAGGAAACCCATCACGGAGGAAGGGGAGCGATTCCAGGCTCAAATTATAGAGCCAGCAGGTTCTTTTGTTCCACATGATTAATTGAAACCAAATTTGAATTTCAGAATAAAATGTGGCTCCTTGTGGCTAAGGGGTGGAATGGGGAACAGGTTTCTCAGAGGGCAAGGGGATTGATTTAGGGCATGCTGTTGCAAAAGCCAAGCAAGTATCAACTCCTCTCGGGTCAATGTTGGCTCTCCAGGGGCTTCTCCAGTATTCAGAGAAGGGAAGAAGCAAGACTTATCCAAGCACGAAGGTCCTGACAAAACTAAAGCAGAAGGTCCTGAAAGAGGGAAGCATCATGTGCACTTTGCAGCCGAGAGCTCGGGGGGCCCTGTGGTGGAAACATTTAAGATTATAAAAGGAGCAATCAACAAAGAGGTGGTAAAGTCAGTCCAAGGCGTCTATCAGTTTGAATTATCTGGTAAGAGTGCTTTCTTTTGTCTGTGTCTCACTAGGATTCTGATGGGCCCATGATTCCTACCTAGTTAAGTAGAACACGCCACAAGGAGCATTATTTTGCTGATCAAATATACAGAGGATGTGTTTTGCTACAGGAAAACCCTTACTGAAGATAAACATGTTCTACTTATTCCCAGGCTGACTGCTGCTCTTGAAATGTAGTTCAGGTCTCTCCCAGGTGGTCAGAGTAAGCTCAGGGAGTGGGAGAGGATGATTTTAGAAGAGCTATTATTGGTGTTCTGGAAGCAAAATTGCAGATGTACCCAGTATTGGAGAGAGCAGGCTGCAGACTGTTGCACCTTATGCTATTTTAGTACATATTTTAGTTTTTGCCAGCTGAGAAATAAGAAAAAAAAACCCCAAGAAGTTGAAAATAGAAAGCACAATTATTTTTTTTTAAGCATATAAAAGAAAATGTATGATTTGGACAGGAACACCCTCACAGTCACAAAAGGAGTAGCAGCATGTTTGCATATGGAGCTAAACTTTATAACATGGAAAATATTGAATGATTCAGTCATGTACATGTTACAGCATATTAAGTTTGGACAAAATTGGCTATGTTTAAATGATAGTTATGTCCTTGAAATTACTGTTTATATCACTCGTATACACTGGGATGGGAGGGAAAGTGGCACTGTAGGGTCCGATGTTGTCAGATCTCAGAAGCTAAGCAGGGTCAGCCCTGGTTAGTACTTGAATGGGAGACCACCAAGGGAGGCTCCGTAAAAGAAGGCAATGAAGCACCTCTCCTTCTCACTTGCCTTGAAAGCCTCTTTTTGGGGTCACCATAAGCCGGCTGTGACTTGACGGCACTTTACACACATACACTGGAAGTATTTCGCAGTCCTGAGAACTGTCTTATATAAAAATCTTCATACTATATATTTTTGTCCAGTACAACTTGGTCATAGAAGACATTTCACTCATTCCAAATGAGAAACTATTTCACAGGAGGTGCTTCCCCCCCCCCAGTGCAAGTCAAGATTTTCTCTCTTTTGTTGCTTCCCCCCCCCCTGTTTTTTCGCCCCCAGAACTTCACATTTCTACCCTTAGCTGTGAACTTACTGGGTAGCCTTAAGTCAGTCGTTCTCTCCCAGCCATCAGTTCCCACATCAGTAATAAGAAAATACTGGCCCATTTTGGAGGGTTGTTTTAACAGTTGCATACATTCTCCCTAAGGCACACTTTAATGTTTGGGAAAAGTAAGAAATGTATACTGTGTGTTACCTGGTGAGCCTTTTGAGGCCACAAGACTATGCACACTTAACTGGGGGTAAGTATTGTTGAACAAAACAAAGTTTGAGTCTAGTAGCGTCTTAAGAGACCAACAAAATTTTCCAGGGTCTAATGAGTCAAAATTCTCTTCGTCTTATAGCTGACAAAATGAGCTTTGACTCACAAAAGCTGATACCCTGGAAAATGTTATCCGTCTCTTAAGGTGCTACCGGATTTGAATTTCGTTCTGCTAATGTAGACTAACCTGCCTGAATCTAGGGAAAAGTAGAATTGAAATTTACAGTGTAATCATTAGAAGGAGAGGACTCCCGCCAAAAAAGAGAGAGAGAGAGAGATGAAACCAATCCAGGGGTCATTGAGTCTAAATGAAGCAGGACACCACACATATTTAGCCAAATCTATATCTTGTGTTGACCCCTTCCAGTAGTAATCCATTGTGTTATCATTGGTCACTAGTTCTTTTCAGTGGTAAGCGTTTGTTAGAACCTCTCTTTAACATTGTCCTCATGAAACTGCAGTGTTTAACTTTAAAATCTCCTGACTGTTAAACCTCTAATTTTTTTAAAAAAAATCAGGCTCACTTTTATACATGGTCCTACTTGTTTGTCTCTTGCATTAGGTGAAGAAGGAGGAACGTGGTACATTGACCTTAAAAGCAAAGGGGGCAGTGCAGGAAGTGGAGAAGCACCTGGGAAAGTTGACGTGATCATGAGCATGTCCAGCAGTGACTTTGTGAAAATGTTTTCAGGTGGGTATTAGAAAAATCTGCCCTGGTTTAGCCAGAATGTATCTGTCGTCTTGTTACTAACTGGTCTTGACAGTTGCTGACACCTGCGTCCTAGGGGGAGTATTAGGCATGCGTATTGCTTCTTATTTCTTCATTGTATACCCATCCCCTTGAGACGTGCTGCCTCCAGTGCAGTCGTTACAGTGCTGAGACGCATTCAACTTTTATCCATTTATTTACCTGTATATTAGAAAATGTATATTCCAAGAACATAAGAGAAGCCAATGTTGGATCAGGCCAATGGCCCATCCAGTCCAACACTCTGTCACACAGTGGTCAAAAACACCAGGTGCCATCAGGAGGTGCACCAGTGGGGCCAGGACACTAGAAGCTCTCCCACTGTTGTCCCCCCCCCCCAAGCACCAAGAATACAGAGCATCACTTGCCCCATACCGAGGGTTCCTATCTATACCTTGTGGCTAATAGCCAATGATGGACCTCTGCTTTTCTTGTCATAAATATGACATCTAACAAAGACAAGTTGCATGGACAAAACAATAATAAGATTATTAAAAATTAAGCTACAACCACAGCTTTAAAACAGCTTTTAAAAACTTGATTCAAGCAGCAAGTTTTTTAAAGCACAGTAGCAATGCCATCCTAAACAGAATTAACACTTGTTTAAGTCCATTAAAGTCAATGGACTTAGAAGGGCGTATCTCTGCTTAGGACAGCTTTGCTCATTGTCCAACATTTATTTGAAACATTTCTGTGCATTCTTCCCACCCAAATAATAGTGCTATCCTTACAGTTATTCTCTAAGCCCAATGGTTTTAATGGACTTAGAATGATGTATATCTCCTTAGGGGTGCTTCATAAATGGAAGTAGCATAACATTAAAGCAGTTAGACCAACAGTAAAACAGCTTGGCCAGCTGAAATACATTTCTGACACTGCTAATAAAAATTGTACTTTGTGGCACAGAATTTTTTAAAAAATTACCTCACTTCAAAAGTCATCCAAAATAAAACCCACTTTTATAGCTCAGGAGAAGGCTCAATGGAACTCCTGGGGGATTTCCAAATTTTGGGAGCTAAAAGAAAAAGGCCCTGTTAAAGATGCCTAAAATTCCAAATCACAAATTCTTCCTATTAACATTGCTGAAAAGGATCAAAGGTCAATACAGAAAAAAATTGAGTTTAGCTGGGTCTCATCCCATCTTACTTATCTAGGAATTAAGGTTCCTACAGATCTCTCCAAATTAATACAATTGAATCACCAAACTACACACGCAGAAATACGTTCCGATATCTTAAACTGGAATAAAAAGAATTTAACATGGATTGAGAGATTTTACCCAAGTTTCTGTTTTTATTCAGAACAATACCAATCAATATCCCTTTAAAAATTATTAAGACATGGCAGACTACGTTAAACAATTTTTTGTGGGATGGAAAAAACCCAAGAATAAGCTTCCACACTCGGAAATGGAAAAGAAGGAGGGTATGGTTTACCAGATTTGAATTGTTACTACAGGGCTACTTTGATGTCAAATGTCATTAAAATGTTGCGTTCAGATCCAGTGCCTGAATGGGCGCAAATTTGCTCAGACACTCTTAGTACTGCAACATTGGAGGCAATTATTTGGAACAACACCCCGATCATGGTACCCGGGGCCAGAAATAATATGTTCTTAATGCCTACTATCAATGTCTGGCGTAAACACAGTAAAACACTCTTACCACAACGGTCAAGGTATTCTACTTTTATATATCAATCGTGGTTTACACAACATGTGGGTTTTCACAGATTGGATTGGAAAAAAGCTCGACTTCATAGGTATTGTGACATTATGACACCTAGAGGTCTTCTTTCTAAAGCAGAGATGGAAAATACTAAGCTAGCAAGGCAGAGAAGTCTCCAAGGCCAAATCCCATGAGAACAGGCCGAGGGGTACAAGTTAGGAAATGGTTATGGCTACTACTGGCATTCACTCTAACAACACATACACTCCCCTCAGGAATTCCCTCCCCCCTAATACATGGCAAGGAAAGCAGTGAAGCAAAACGAAGTGAAACTGAAACCTTGACAGGTAGTCATATTAGTTTGCAGTAGAAGACCTAGATTTAAGTCCAGTAGCACGATTTCCAGGGGATCTTTGGAGAGTCAAAGCTGCCTTCGTCAGATACTAGTGTCTGACAAAGGGAGCTTTCACTCTCAAAAGCTGACACCCTGGTTTCTTTATTTGCAAATCCAGCACGTCACCAGCCACATAAAACTAATATCAATAATGTCCTGTCCACATACTAAACTGGAGTTTATTCTTAAAATTTTTAGTGACAAAAATAAGGGACTGATCTCAGCACTTTACGACTTGTTGCAATCTGAATCGAATTATCAGTCGGTCTGGCAACGAGATTGCGATTTGACTCTAAGTGACGAGGTATGGACAAAAATTTGGAAACAAAAAAATAACACTCCTAGCGCACTATCAATAGATTTACACAAATTTAAAATTCTAACCAGGTGGTACATGACACCTCAGAGACTGTCTCACATAACATCTAACTATTCGCCAGACTGCTGGAAGGGTTGCAAAAAAATAGGAACTTTTGCGCATTGCTTTTGGGAATGCGAAAAAATTAGTTCATTCTGGAATGATGTACTGCGACATATCCACAATATCTTGGGTATACTTACTCCAAAGTCACCTGAGACCTTGTTTTTAAATCTTTGGTCAGAGGAAATAGCACATCATCACTATAGAGACATGTTGGACACAATGCTGTATGCGGCTAGGCTATCTATAGCATCTTGCTGGAAAGATATCTCCCCCCCTAACATTCAAACTTGGTACAAGAAGCTGTGGAATCAGTTCATTATGGAAAGCATCACTGATAAAGTTAACAGAAATAAAAGGAACGTCGTACATGTTGGGTTCGAAGCTAAATGGATGCCAATTTTAGAAGCTCTATCAGACAAAAAATTTATCTCAGCATCCTGGGATAACTATGTTAAATGGTTGTGAGGATTTTTTATGGTTCAAATAAAGTATAGTAAGTAGGCTTTGGTAAAACTCGATTTGTGGGTAGTACTTTGTGTTTAATAGGATTAGATATATCATTGAATGTCTACAGATATTCTTGAGGGCAGAAGACACTTGGTTGTATCTAAAGCAACAAACAGTACAGGCATCAATTACAAATTGAGGCTAAAATAAGTTACTTTGTTCAAAGATTTATTGAAGAATGTATCATTCTTTAAAGCTTTTTTTTTTTGTAATTAGCGTGTTGGTTTGAATGTATAACTGTTCTTATGACCTTTATGTATATTTTTATTGTTATATTTGTTTTATTGTTTTAATCCTACCAATAAAATGTTAATGAGAAAAAAAGATGCCTAAAATTCTCACCTCAACAAAAATGAGTCCAGCCTCATCCAATTGTAAACTGGGATTAGAAAGGTTTCTTCAGACAGATATAAAGCCATGTATGGCTCTGAGGCATCGTCTCTCCCTGTGTTGGGCATCAGTCTGAGGAGGAGGGATGTGACCCCTTAGGAGGGACCCCTTCCTTCGGCAATGGACCAATATCCTCTTTTACCAAGAATGCCTCTCTGGGGTTGGGGGGAGGTGGGCTTTTGGTAGTGGGTGATGCAATCCTTAGGCATATAGAGAGTGGGGGGGGTCTGTGACAAGTGTTTTGACCACATGGTGACTTGCCTGCCTGGTGCAAACGTTGCAGATGTCATGCACTGTCTAGATAGGTTGATAGAGAGTGCTGGGGAAGAGTCAGCAGTCATGGTGCACATTGGCACCAGTGACACTGGGAAATGTAGTTGTGTGGTCCTGGAGGAAAAATTTAGGTTACTAGGCAGAAAGTTAAAGGCCAGGAACTTGAAGGTAGCACCTACAGAGTTAGGCTACACATGTCTATCATGAATAAAGAAAAATAAGGCAGTTTGGAGACATTGCTGTACAATAAGACAGCTTGGAGGCATTATTGGCTGAGAAGTTCCTGTTGCTGTGCCTCTTTGGAAGTTCCCGTTGATGTGCAGTCCTGAAGGGATTGAAAATGCATTGAATAATCTGGAGGATGAGTTGACTGCAGCTTATTTCTTATTGTTTGTCTTACTGGATCTACTTGCTGATTGCAGCATACTTTACATTGTTTATCTTAAGTCTTAAGAAGAGGATGTACTTGCTTTATGGACATTTGAAGATCATGTTTTTCATGTTTTTCAGTCCATTGAAATTGGAATTTGTGAAGTCTTTCTTTTGGGAGTGTTAAATAGTAAATGTTAGCTATTGCTTTAAATCCCCATCCTATCTATTGTATTTGTTTTGTATTTCTTGTATTTCATGTATTGAATACTATTGTATATTTGAGAGATATTTGGAGTCTTATTTGATGTTAAGTCATACACGATTTATATTTATTCATCTATTTCCTTAAATTATTGTTAGTTCCATGCATAGGGCCAGATAGGCAGGCACAGATCAGGGCTCTCGATGCGTGGATGAGAAAGTAGTGCCAGGAGCAAGGGTTTAGATTTGTTAGGCACTGGGGAACTTTCTGGGACAAGCCTAAACTGTGCAAAAGAGACAGGCTTCACTGGAACCAAAAGGTGGCAGAGCAGCTCTTAAATTAAACCCATGGGAAAACCAATGGGGGCTGGGGAGCCTCCAGTTTGGGACAAGTAAATACTCAAGGTAATATTGGTAGGAGTGTAATAGAACTTGGGAGTAAGGAACTTGGGACACGGTGACTGCGGGCCAAGTGTGGTGACTAAGATTGCTGAGGGAGGCAAGGTTTACTGGAGAGGAAAAAATCGTTATAGGTGTCTATATGATGGGGGCTGGAGTGCTTGGTGTTCAGTGACAATTTAGATATAGTAGGTATATCAGAAACATGGTGGAATGGGGAAAATCCTGGGTATAAGTAGTATAAGCAGGACAGGGAGGGACGGGTTGGGGAGGTGTTGCATTGTACATCAGTGAGGGCATAGAAACAAGTTAGCAAACATTAGGGGAATTAACTCCCCAAAGGAAAAGATATGGGTGGAAATATCAGGCCCTAAGGGTTACTTAAAAGTAGGGGTGTATTGTCGCCTACCTGATCAAACCCTTGAGGCTGATTTTGAGGTAGAGAAGGAAATAAGGGAGGTGACTAAAGGAGATAATGTTATTGTATATTGGGAGACTTTGACTACCCTCACATTGACTGGGTAAACATGTGCTTGAGTCATGCTGTAGAAATGAGATTCCTAGACATCATAAACGACTCTGTACTGGATCAGTAGGTCGCAGGCCAACCAGAGGGGTGGTGATCGTGGACTTGGTTTTAAGTGCTATCAGAAACATGGTGGAATGGGGAAAATCCTGGGTATAAGTAGTATAAGCAGGACAGGGAGGGACGGGTTGGGGAGGTGTTGCATTGTACATCAGTGAGGGCATAGAAACAAGTTAGCAAACATTAGGGGAATTAACTCCCCAAAGGAAAAGATATGGGTGGAAATATCAGGCCCTAAGGGTTACTTAAAAGTAGGGGTGTATTGTCGCCTACCTGATCAAACCCTTGAGGCTGATTTTGAGGTAGAGAAGGAAATAAGGGAGGTGACTAAAGGAGATAATGTTATTGTATATTGGGAGACTTTGACTACCCTCACATTGACTGGGTAAACATGTGCTTGAGTCATGCTGTAGAAATGAGATTCCTAGACATCATAAACGACTCTGTACTGGATCAGTAGGTCGCAGGCCAACCAGAGGGGTGGTGATCGTGGACTTGGTTTTAAGTGCGTCTCAAGACCTGGTGAGAGATGTAGAGGTTGTTGCACCAACTGGGAACAGTGACCACAATGCTGTTAAGTTCAGCATTCAGGTCAATGCAAAGTTACCCCTAAAGTCCAAAATGGTAACATTTGGTTTCAAAAGAGGGAACTTTACAAAAATGAGGGGAATACTGAGAGGAAGCTGAGGGGGAAGCACAAGAGAGTCAGATCCCTAAAGAATGCTTGGAAACTATTTAAAACCACACTACTTGAAGCCCAGATAGAAAGCATTCCACAGGCTAGGAAAGGACTGCCATATTTAAAAGAAGCTGAAGCAACCTGAGCTGCAGTGTTAGGAGAGTCTAGTAACAAATAAATATACACTGCAAAAACCTTTTAACAAGCTAATGTGTTCTATTTATGGTCATCATTTAGTAAAGTGCATAGTGTGTCATTATTTCATCCTAGTCAGGTATAAATATTCATTACATTCAATAAGCAATAACATTCAGTACATACAGATTGATAACTACCAGACAATTTTGCATCAGTGTTTTAAAAGTCAAGCCCCAACGGGAGTTTCTAGAATTATGAACCTGCTTCTCCTTGCATGAAGTCTTCCAAAAAGGGGGGCAGCTTTCTTAATAGTTGTACTCCTGTCATGCAGCTTTGAGAATGACAGGAGTACTCCGCCCATGGATGTTAGCTGCACAATGTGTCTTTTGTAGGACCGGCAAAAAGCATCCACAGCATCACATCCCCTTGGATCATTCTCTGGGTCCTGAGCTCTGCAATGGATTAATTCTGTCTTCAGAATAAATTGTGCAGATAGACTAACTTGTAAGGATTTTCAGGGAGTTCCTTGCTCTCTTGCATGCTGAACTTTAAATGTTTTGATTATTTATTGTATATATTCATTCATTCATTTTCAGCTTCTACCAAAAAAAAAGGTCTCTAAATGACTTTAGTCAAAAGCACTGCAGCTTGTTTAGCAGATTCAGGAGGAATGGCTGGCTGTTTGACGTTAATTAGGGCTCTTAGGTTTTCTTTGTCTGACTGAGCTGTTTCCTGCTTGAATCCATGCTACCATTTTCCTAGGAAAGTATTCCTTGAACAAAAAAGAAAAAAAAAGATGTTTAACTAATAAGTATACCAACTATGTAACCCTGAGGAGTTACTCCAGTCTAAACCCATGTATTTAAGTGGGCTTAGACAGGAGTAACTCTGCATAGGATTGCATGGTAAGAGGGGGGTTTGTGTGTGTGTGTGTTTAAGTAAATGGTGCCTGTTCTAAAAGCCTTTTTTCCCTCTGCTTCTTTCAGGCAAACTAAAGCCAACCATGGCTTTCATGTCTGGGAAACTGACCATCAAGGGTGACATGGCCTTAGCGATCAAGCTGGAAAAACTGATGGGCCAGTTCAACGCCAAACTGTGATAATGTTAAGAGGTGGGGATAGGGGCGTAGTTTTGTGTGTCACATTGACCTTTCAATAAATGTGCAACACTTTGCTGTGGAAGGCGCTAATGTTTGCTTTTGTTTAACATGTTATGATTTAATTAATAATTTTCATAATTTCCTCGATTGCATGACATTTGTAGAGTATGTGGAACCAGTCCTAACTAGATTTATTTGGAATAAAATTGTATTGCTCTAAAGTGGGACTGATTTCCGAGGGATTGTTTGTAGGATCAGTGCTGGCCATATATATTTTTTCCCCTGATGAGAATCACTGCATCCCAATTTGCACATAAATACTTGTTCCTTTTGGTACAATCATGTCAGCCCTGTTTACGTTAGAGGAAGCTGCCATTTTCCTCTTTCTGCCTTGTTTTTGTCATCTTTCTAAATGTCCAGATTAACTTGAAGTGACTGCACCAGAGTGCATTTTTTGAGAAAGAATAGCACTGACAGAGTTGATGTAAGCTAGTTCTTTGACTGAAGAAAGCTCTGATCTTGTTCTGGTAATTCTTAACTTTGGGCCTGAAGTTGCAGTTCTTTGGGAGCCAGCATGGTGTGGGAGCCAGAATGTTGTAGTGGTTAAGAGCAGTGGACTCTGATCTGGAAAACTGGGTTTGATTCCCCACTCTTCCACATGGAGCCAGCTGGGCGGCCTTGTGCCAGTCACAGTTCTATCAGAACTCTCAGCCCCACCTACCTCACAAGGTGACTGTCGTGGGGAGAGGAAGGGAGGGCAGTTGTTTGAGACGCCTTAAGGAAGAGAAAAGCAGGGTATAAAAACCTACTCTTCTTTTTATATGCTGCAGAGCCCATTGACTTCAGTGGAAAGATGCCATTGTTCAGTAGCCACTGAGTTACCTCAACAGCGCCTTTGACTTTTTTTTGCTTCCAGTACTGGTGTTTTGAGATTTTTAATGTGCCTTTTAATATTTTTTAAGTGTTGTTTTCTACATGGGTTTCAATTACACAGTCTCTCCCCTCTCCCCCTTTAAGGAACTGTAAATTCAGAGACTTTAAACAGGGGGAAATTAGCAGTTGGCCTTAACCTTTTAATCCTTTTAATTCTCACATTTTAAAATTACATTGTTGCTGTGAAAACCCAGTTACTGTCAAAGTGTACTTACAAAGTTATTTGAAATAAAATGTATTGTTTCGGTTCTGTCTGTTTGCTTATAGTACTTTAGAATGAAGATGTTTGTTCCCAACTATTTTGCTGGTGAAGGTGGGGTGGGGGGAGGTGATACTGTAGGGTTCTGTGTTCTGTTAATATAGCTGAAATTTGTTCATATATTGGGTTTAGATCTCATCTGAAGGGGAAGGGCTTGGTATATTGAGCAAACTGGAGATGCTGAAGGCACCAAATGGTCAGATGCTTTCTTTTATCACAAATATATTTGCAGTGTTGTGTACAAAACCACCATCTTCACATTCCAGTACACACCATGATTCATCTTATGTCTTCACTCACAATTTCAAGGATTAGAGTGTCTGCAAAGGGAGGGGGAGAATCAAAGAAATGACATGTCAGTTGCTGCCTTGTGCTAAAGAATTGCTCATCCATATACTGTGGCCTGGACTACATATCCAGCAAAATAAGTAGGTGGAATCTTGAGCTAATAGAATGGACTGTACCACTTCAGACTCTGTTAAGGGGAAATGCAATCCCCGCCATATTAAAAGACTCCTTGCAACTAAATAGAGCATTCAGGAGGAAAATTCTACCCTTATTGCACTAGGTTTGTAACCGCATAATCAGGGGGGAGGGAGCACGCAATGAGTCAGCAAGGTGTTCCATTGGCATCGCCAGTGGCATTTCCTGCCACTTTCCAACCAGATAGTCCACCGGACCTGGATGGCCCAGGCTAGCCAGATCTGATCATATCTCAGAGGCTAAGCGGTGTCAGCCCTGTTTAGTACTTGGATGGGAGTCCTCCAAGGAATACCAGGGTCACTACACAGAAGCAGGCAATAGCAAACCACCTCTCAATGTCTCTTGCCTTGAAAACCCTGCAGGGTCCCCATAAGTTGGCTGCGGGTTGGCGGCACTCTCCACCTCTACCAGTCCATCTCACTCAGATGCATCCTGGGATTGCTGTGTTTGGTCTCTCCAGTGCCACTGGACGTCTGTTTTGTTCAGCTGTAGTGCACAGCAAAGGTCCAGTGGCACTTTGAAGGTTGACCCCATCTTTTGGTCCCCCCCTTCCCCCCCACAAAACACCATTGGGTGCAGTGTGCAATTTGGAAGGGGCATTGACCAGTGGGAGGTCTGAGGGTGTTTGTGGCTGCCCTAGAATGGAGTGGAGGGTTGCTGGGACCCACACACCCACACTCCCCCACAGCACTACTAGGATCTGATAAGCCACGCAGTTTAGTGGGGCAGGGGCAGGGGCAGGGGAACCAGGTTATACAGAAGGAAGATACTGCCATTGGTGCAGCATCTCTAGAGTGGCCCATTGGCCTTTGTGGTTTGTGACAGCTCCAGTGCTTTTTCTGCCCCTCCCCATGTGGAGATCAAACCAGGAGCCCTGGCCATGCTATCCCAGGGCCTTTCCACTGAGCCTGTTTGAGCAATGATCTCTGCCTGGCCCTGTGTGGCTGGTAGTGACCTCAGGGCTGCAGTGGGGTGCCTAGTACCTGATGGCATGCCTACTTTCAACCTCTCCTTGGTCCAGTGGTTAGGACGCTGGTCTTGGGTGTGGGGTCTGTGGGTTTGAGCTTGCCCTCTTGTCTTTTTGTGTGTGAGTCTTTTTTCATAGAAAAGGTGTGTGTGGCTCACAGCAGGGATGATTGCATGTGGGCAGCAAAAGGGCCCTTTGCTAGGAAAGGAATGGGTGTCCTGTCTGCTACATGGGTGCCTTTCTTCTGTGGGCTGAGGAGGGCACTCTGCCCACATGCCTCTGTTGGGATTGCACGGTTGCTGGGTCTTTCCTCCCTGTCCACTGGCTTTCTGGGGGGGGGGGAGTGGCATTGAGGGGCAGTAGCTGGATTGGTGGGTGGTGATTGGCTGCACCTGTGCGTGCCACTCACAGGGACATTCTCAGTTGCCCTTGTCTGATTGCCAGGGTTGCTGGGGATTCTGAAGTGCTTGCTATGCTGCCTGCGCCTTGTGGAAAGACATGTGTTGCTGTTTCCCTTTGCAGAATGTCCATAGGAAACAGGCCAGCGGCACCACTATTGGATCAGTGGCTGCACCACCACCAGCACCACCACAGCAGGCTTCAGGATTGTGCTGCCCATGCAGAAAGATTTTTCTGCAAAAGAATGCGAAATATGTTTTTTAAAAGGCCTCCCCTCAAACAGCTGTATGATGCATTCTGCTATCTCAGAATTCTGTCATTCTATGCCTGAGCAGAGCAGACCTGTTTCTTTTGGCCCTGCAATCTACCTTTGTGATACGTGGATAATTATCCGGATTTAATTTACAAAGAAAAACAAAAATCAAGAAGCTGCTGCAATTCTCCACTTTTCTTAGGGATGTGTGTTTTAATTCATAGAATAATTAACTAAAGCTTTGACTGGCTGGGTTAATTTTAAATTAGTGGCAACCTATTTTTATTGGTGTGGCTATGTGAGATGCACATAGCCTTTTTATTTGGCTGTGCAAGTGTTTTACCGCAAGACCGTGAAAAGTAAAATATCCAATGCCCTTGTAATAATGAGTGGGAGCCTTTGTTCCAATGATACATTATTTTACACCATCTTCTATGGACTTGTGTTGAAATCTGGCAATTGGCAAAAAATATTTACGGTAAATAGAACAGTTTTGTTAACAGTCAAGTGAATAGTCGACTAAAAACTTTTGATTGGTTGATAGTGGTATTGGTGTTTTGCTGTTACATAGGTCTGTTTTTTAATATGTTAGCCACTCTGGTGGCTCAAAAGCAGAAACCCAGGGGAAATATTTTATAAATAAATAAAATGTAAGCATTTGAAATACTGGGATACAATAATATGGGCTTTTTGGTCTGCGGTTTAAGTAAAAGGTTACAGTCCTGCCACTCAAAATTAGCTTGTGGTCATGTTTTATACAAACATAATTTAGCAAACAGGTACAAGCAAATTTATTACCGTGATTAAAAAACAAGACCCATCTGCAAAAGAATAGTTTTAGCCTTCCTTGATTTTTATCTATAGGATCACTGTATAGATAAATTGCACATCAGCACTGACATGTTGTCATACATGCAGATTAACCAGGAATGGTTTGGATTGCATGGGGATGACCCACGCACAATCAAGGGAGGGGTGATTTTTGCTGATTTTCCTCTTCCAGTGGCAGCCCTGAAATCCTCCCCCTCCCCCGTTGCGTCTCACCCAGGGGGGCTGCATTTCAGGAGGCAACTGGTGCTGCTGCAGGAGGAGGGAAGCAGGGAAGCTGCACTTCTTTGCCTGGAAGTCCTTCTGTGTACAGATTTCTTTTGACAGGATTTAATTCAACATGTAAATACAAAAATAGCAAAACCGATTTAAACATGCCAGCTGGGCAGCTTGGTACATATTCCATGGAATCCTTGACTTCGTTAGATTTTGGTGGGTTCCTCATCGAGGAAGCCAGGATCAGCACAAGCTTTCCTAAAAGTCAGCCTGCTTACCTCTGCTAGTTGCAGGCCTGCATTGGGCGTGTTCTCAAAAACACTCACAGATTGTGGAAGACAGTTGTGATGACCAATAAGCCTGGTTAAAAAAGTAAAGGTAAAGGTTTCCCTTGCTCGAACGCCAGTTGAATCCAATGCCAGTGGGTGGTGCTCATCTCCGTTTCCAAACTGAAGAGCCAGCGCTGTCTGAAGACTTCTCCGTGGTCATGTGGCTGCCATGACTAAACGCTGTGGCGCACGGAATGCTGTTACCTTCCCTCCGAAGTGGTACCTATTTATCTACTTGCAAATTCTTGCTTTCGAACTGCTAGGTTGGCAGGAGCTGGGGCCAGAGACGGGAGCTCACTCCGTCATACGGCACACTTGGATCTCGAACTGCTGAACTACCGAACTACTGACCTTCTGGTCTGCAACTCAGCATCTTAACCTCTTGAGTCACCACAGCCCTAATAAACCTGGTTAGCATTCCACAAAAGCAGGATGTGCATCCTTCATCTGTGCAAGAACACAGGAAACATTAATGGGGTTCCATGATGCACATATTTATTAATACCCTTACATCTTTCCCACCCTCCCATCAAACAGCCTGCAATAAATAATAAAGCACAGCATCAGTCCCACAATTACCAATCAATAGACCAATACAGATTAGCCTTCCACCAAAGGCTCTCCTACACAATATTCTTGTACAGAACTTCTCAAAACCTGTTAAGAGGGGAGTCCTAATCTTTTCTGGAAGACTTCCAGAGGAACAGTGCCACGGCTGAAAATAATCAGGCCAAGGCAGTTCTAATGATCTTGGACAGGGAGCAGGTGGTAGAGGCTAGTGGGAAGATCAAAGTTAGCACACAAGTTTGTAACAGGATAGATGGTCCTTTTAGTCCTGTAAAAGACCAATGGGGCGGTTCCTCCGTTGCTGGGTTGCTATGGTGTTTCCTACAGATGGATCGAAAGCCACTGTGCTATAAACTTAAGAGTTCTTATTTTTTCCCCCTTATTTATTTCAGCTTT